AGTGCAAATACGAGTTGTTAGCAATATAGTTAGTATTGTTTCGTTCCATAGCCGTATCAGGTTTCATAGCGGTTTCATGGTCAACGAACCCTGAATCTTTCAGGACCGCTCAATTGCCGAGCAAAATTTCGAGAGAGTGAATTGGTACGGGACTTTGAACACATGCATAATTCTCATAGCAGCTGTGACGCAGGTACTTAATCTCATAGTTTTTATTACAATTCCTTCGCCTAAGAATTAGGAGCGTATGCATCTGGAGGGGGCTACAGGCTCCGATCTGTTTATTGCATGAAAAGCACCATTGCGGAGATATCATTTTACTGGGGAAGGGGCGATTTTCCAGGCTTGACGAGTCCTCTGGCAGTCTGTGCAAGCAAAAGAGCGCAGGCGAGAGTACAAATCCGATGTGGTTTCCAGGGCTTGGTACCGAAAGGCCGTAGGACTACCGAGGTGGGGCGCCCGTGACCTGACAGATCAGACGGTGCCACCATAATACAACAAGTTTTTTTGCGATCATGGTGGTCCAGAGATTGGTAGAGCAGCTAAGTAGAAACCCAGAGCCGCACGGAATATGTTATAGAATACCTACCTATAATCACCAGACAGGAAGCGAATAAAGCACCTGTCAGCTGTCCCAATCGCTATCCATTCATATGTAAGCCAAATACTTGGACCAAATGATTAACGTAAAAAAGCTCTGACGAGTTGCTCGCCTGAAACCGCTCGGATTCCCCCACCCCGAATATCGTCTACAAATTTTCTGAAATTTTGTTGGAGTCGGTTAGTGATGACCACTCATTCCCATCCAAATTTTGATGAAAAGTTCGCCTTTAGTTTGTTCAACGTTACATTCAAGACCAAACTATGAAAAACGTGTTTTAGGTTTTGCTCATTCGAAGTTTACTCACTGAAGATTCAAGAGTTGGCAAATTACTTCGCCACGGAAGAAAGTGAACCAACGAACAAACTTCTCTTGGAAAATACTCAATTTTTCGCATAATTTTCAATTGTCGAGTATTACAGTATTAGGTGATCGTAACATAGTCATGAGTGATTTTTTTTCTTCTTTTCCTCCGTTGCCTTTTGGTTTTTAAGCTGCCTACTTAAGTCATTCCATGATTCTTGCCTCCAAGATCAAACTGCCTACTAATACCAATTGCTGCCTTGTTTTTTGTCTACTGGTTAAGTCCGGTGTTCATAGGTTCATAGATTATGGTTTCTCCAGGTTATATGCCACTGAGAAAGCTTGCTTACTTACATTACTGTTATTTATTGACTTGACTTTCACTTAACCATAACGTTTTACGCCTTTGGTCAAACTGCCTACTAACATCAAACGACTGCCTTTTATTTATTGCCAATTATTGCCAACACCAGTGTCTGTGTACGGTTATATACCATTCACTTACTAGAATTTCTAATCGAACAGGGGTCTTATTTATGTTTTGTGTACAATGGTTCCAGAGAATGAATAGTTACGTTCATACAGTCCCTTTTCAACACTCAGAACAACCTATGTTTTGTTTATAGAGCTACTTCGAAGATTAACAGCATCAACAACCTAGTAACAATAACAACAACAGTTTACAACTTTTCACAACAACTCTAGCATTAGTTTGTCAGGAAAGTGAACAGGCACGGGTTGATATGCTAGGGATGAGAAGTGAGATGTTTTGCATAGAGTTTCGTTCGCTGCGGATGACGAGCGTGTCAAGAAGGATGAGTTTGGCAGCGCAGCCCCTTTTTTTTAATAGGCGGAGGACAAAACCGCATCATATTTTTCGCTTCCAGTCGTTTCCTACCACTTGTAGTAGCATAGCTGCTCCAAAAACGTGGAAAATGAGCTATCGGCGCCAAACCCAGCCTCACTGACACGCCCCTTCATCCGCAGCGACAAAACTGTATCAGGCCTCCCTACAAAACTGTATCAGCCTACAAACGAATTCCTTCACTTTTGTACAGTCAGGAATGATAAACGCGTCTCATGAGTTTCCTGATAATCCGATGCTGTAATTTACATACGTAATCAATGAGATGAGAGTATTTATTATTCATGGCATTTAGGTATTCATTCATTAGGTATTTCATTCATGACGAACTTGCAGACACCTTCTCAGTCTGAAATAAATCAAATAGTGAGATATATAGTACGACTTTCATGAGAAGAGCACAATGAACTTGATTTTGATGACATATAAGGAGCAAGGAGGCGGTGGTGGTGTAGTGACAAGCGCTTACCACTCGCGCGGTCTTGGGTTCGAATCACAGGTCGACACCCGTCCAGGCCAATCAAGCCTTCTACCCTCCGGGACGGACGTAGAATTGGTACCAGATTCGTCTGGGAGGATAAGAACACTGACTTGTACATCGGCTGGCCCCCGCAAGTCATTGTATAGGCCACATCGCATTCAATAAGCCACTACGATTCTGAATGGAAGTAGAATGCGTGCCGCATCCCACAAAGGGATTGATTAACGGCGAAGACTTTATCCTTCTATCCTTTTGAAGGAGCAAACACTTTGATCAGAGCAGAAGTGGAGCACAGTACCACTTCACTAGGGTGCTGCTATAGCCGTAACCAAGATGTTATAACAATTTCATTCAGCTAGCGTTTCGGCGTTATGGCTCTTGTCAGAGCCTTGAATGCAAAGGCAGGATTTGGTTGAAACCACCGTTTAGCGGTGGTCTCAACCAAAACCACAAATATCTCCTAGTTGTGACCATTCTCACCACCATCACAGGACTCTCAAGGAAAATTATCAAAGTGCTGACAATACCTCTGGTAATGTTTCTCCGCGGCGGGGACTTCAACAGTTTCAGCACCGTTTTCTTCTTTTTGCACTTTCTTCTCGCTTTCAGTGAGATCTTCCGAATTGGCTTCTTTGGCAGCTTCCTCTCTCGCCTCAGCAGCCTGAAATTTAGTCTTTTATCTGAGTAACCACTGTCTGAGCGGAAATTTTCTGACCTTTGCGACAGCCATTGTGAGAAACGATTGCTTTGGTAGCTCCTCACTTTCAGGATCAGCAGAGAAATCATGATTTACCAAATCGGCGAGCCATTGCAACATACTAAAAAGAGAACGTATAAAGCAAGACTCTGCTCAACTGAAGACTATGAATAAATCAAACTTACGATTGGTGCCGTAGTTCTGACAGAAGAATCTCTTTTGTTATAAGTTCAAATTTTACTTCTTCTATCCGAGCTTCTACTGCGCTTCCCCAGTCAGTTAATGGTTCATGAGTTTTTGCATGCCTGGAAATGAAACCAAGTAGATGAATATAAATAAGCAGAAATATGGGCAAGTTTGGCTTGGTTGGGGTACCAAAAGATACTCCGTTAGGCTGTACAGACCACCTTAAGAAGACCTGTAGATTTCCGTGCCCAAACGGGATCACACGAACAATTTCGCAGCTTCACTTGAAGTTACTAATCTGATCAGAGTGGGACCTGTCACCTAACATGGAATACCAGGAGGAACTGGCGAAAGGGCCAAATGCCCCTCCAAGCCTAACGGTGCTGCTTGTGTCCAAAAAAGGTTGTAAAAGTAGTAACATCCCTTACTTTCTGTCATAGAGATCATAATGTACACGTTCTAGTAGCAGACCAAGTCCTGGAGCTTTCGGCACATCAACCTGTAATGGAAACCAGTAACTCTCCATTCGCATAATCACCATTGTTATCTCCATTCTCCATTCGCATAATCACCGCTGGGTAGAAGTTGAGCGAAAGCGGGGAAAGTCTCCCGTTCGCAAAGTATGAACCTATTTTGTGAAAGGGAGACTTCGGGGTTTGAAAGAATACGCGATTCGGGAAAAAATGCGAAAAGGTAGAACGCGCGACCGGAATGTATACGTTCATACCTCAAAAATCCACGATCCGGGAGATTTTATGAATCGCGAAGAAAATGCACGATCAAGGGGTAAAAGGGATCGGCCACAGTCGGCACTAGGAGGGGCATAATGATTCACAGGGCCCCCATTGTGTTCGCTTAAGCGGAAATGCAATATGGAACCCCTCCCCCCCCCCCCCCGAGCACAATTACGTCCGTCTGAGAATGGACTGATTCCGCCTACGACCGCATTCTCTCGTCTCGCGCACTCTTCAAAAATGCAAATCCCCATATGCATGATTCTACCATTTTTGGTCGCGTAACTCCATTTTACTGGCGATATAAACGGGAGTTGAGCGACGTTTGGCAAAAAAGAAAAAAAAGGCTATTTGCAGCAACTGCGCACGTCAGGTATCTACCGTATCAAAAGGACTATCATTCAGGCAATAAGTCCTTAAAAACTCACCCGTTCGCTTTCAAAAGTCCTCTGAATATAGCTTTTGTATTGTAGTTCACGTATTACAGTAATTAACATACCTAAATAGCTAAGTTTTAGCCCTATGAAACTAATGGTTATAATAATTGCACAAAATACAGGATGATCTAGTTTACTCACCTACCATCTTCCTAATTTGATGTAAAATAAAACTCTGCCCTTTTACAGTGAGTTGAATAAATTCGACATCCTCATTTCGAATATCGTCATGAAAAAGGAAAGGTTCGCCGCATTCAAAAGATAATATATAACGATGGCAACTGCGATCATCAAATTCCCTAAAAAGGGCACCTTGTGAACTGATTGAACAATCAAGTATCACGCAGTATCATAGAATATCACAAAAGAAATCAGACCCACCGTCTCGAGGTATAGTTAAAAAAATTGTGCGTGCCTTTGTAGATACTGAGAACAGAATTAATTTCGTCAATGGTTTCTTTGCTGATGCGGAAAGCGGCATTTGTTAACTAAAGGAAAAATTCAGATGGACAGCGAGGCTGCGTTCACACTCTTTGTTGGCGTTTTGAGGGTTGCATGCACTGAGCGAAAAGGAAAGTATGTATAGATACAGATTTAGCGTTTCGAGGGTTTAAGGAGAATCGCTAGCATTTGGGAGCGTTGAGCGAAAAGGAAGGCGTAGGGCGTATCGATTTAGCCCTCCGGGAGAAAGCCTAGCATTCCGAGAGAACCAAGAACGATCGATATCCATACTCTCCCTTCCGCTCAAAACGCTCGAAACGCCGACGAAAAGTATTAGGTCATCCCATTCAAACGTGCCGCTGGTTTTTTTGAATAAAACAAAGAGGAGAATAAATAGAAAAGTGATATTTTAGCTTTAGGATGAGTAAATCCCTCCTTCACCAATGACCCGCTCCCAGTGCCCCGAGGGCCTTTGGACCTCTGGTACCTTCGATTTTTCAACAAGTGTGGGTAAATTGCTGTTTGCCAATTTCGGCAAATGACAAAACATTGTAGCGTCTGCCGTTGGAGAGTACTCTCAACTGAATAGAACAGTTGTAATCGCATGGCTTTATGACGGGCGAATGGGGCGATTGAACCCAGGTCTCAGTATTGTTTGTGTCCCAGCACTGATCTACAATACAGTTACTCGGGGTCTGGCACTATGACGAGCAACGGTGGCCTTCTTAGTTGTGTGGTAGCATCCATTTGTCGATCTGAATGCCGAGGAACAGGCAATATGCACCGACAGTGACGGATTTGTCTCTGTATAGAGCCGCTTGAAAGCCACAGTGTGGGAATCCTTTGCTATGATGATCATCCACTTGCGCCCACGTAACTCTTCATGGTAGAACTCGGGCGGCTTCTCATCTGCATTCATACAAAATTGACGATTGTGAGTTTCGGCTCGAGGTCCGAGACCACCCATATTTCATCTAGGGCCGGGGTGCGTTTTCACAGTTGTGAGTGACATCTCATGCTGAGAACATTACTGCTGGAGGTATAGAATCGGTACTGCGTTCGTGCTTCTATAAGAAAATTGGGTACCCATGCGCCACCCTCTTGACCATCCTCCGTTTATCGGACATAACTCGGGCAGCAGTTGCAGCTGGGATGTCAGACTCGCGGGGAAGCTCGACAAGGGTCCAGGCTCTGTGATCAGATATTCAGTGCCTGACTTCATCCACCCTTTTTTCTTGTGCAGGATGAATATTATGGGACCATCCACGACAACAAATTTTTTCCTTTCTTCCTTGTACGGGCTCCTGAACCAAATCTTCCACCGTGTATTTCGAGAACACACAACTATGGTCCGGCGCAGGTCAAATTTGAGCAGCGCACTTTCCTCTTATGACGTCTGATTTGAAAAACCGGCGCCGATTTTCACCACTCGGGCTTCTTTTCAATTTCTCGAGAACTTCTTCTGGGGCTAGGTTCGCCAAATTTCACAGATACACAGCTTAAGGTACTAGCTTCCAAATGGTATAGTAGCCCGCTGCTCTATCCCCTTTGCTTTTCTGCCATTCCTCTATATGTAGCGGCACGTTTGAATGGGATGACCTAATAGAACGCTAACAAAAATACAAAAGACACCTCTTCATCTATTAAAGCATGAACATTCAAGCCTTACCTCTGTCGGTTTCGCAAACGCAAAAGTTGGCAATGTATAACTGTAGGTCCTTGCACAGCACATTTTCTGTGGATGGAATGCATTTGTCGCACGACGCATCGCTGAACGTACAGTACAGAACAATAAATTCGCAACGAAATTTCAGGTTTTTGAGGGGAATTGCCAGGTGCAAGTACCTATGACGCGAATATCCTTTGGTAGCAGAGCGTTTAGCTCGTTAGCTCCTGTCACCGGATAGTCGTCACTCCTTGGAAGCTCCATACCACAAATCTAAAAAATTAAAAAGGATAAAGGATAAAGTCTTCGCCGTTAATCAATCCCTTTGTGGGCGGCACGCATTCTACTTCCATTCAGAATCGTAGTGGCTTATTGAATGCGATGTGGCCTATACAATGACTTGCGGGGCCAGCCGATGTACAAGTCAGTGTTTTATCCTCCCAGACGAATCTGGTACCAATTTACCGTCCCCGGAGGGTAGAAGGCTTGGTTGGCCTGGGCGGGTGTCGACCTGGGATTCGAACCCAGGACCGCGCGAGTGGTGAGCGCGCCACTTGTCACTACACCACTCCGCCTAATCTTAAAATTACTGTACAGATAATAAAGAATGGTTAAACGTTCAACTATATCGGTTAGGGGCATGAATAGCGGTTGGACAGTGGCTTCTACTTTCTCAGAGTGACCTCTAAAGGCTTTCTCGAGTAATTTGACAAGTAGGAGTACAGGGTGGAGGGTTGATTTCAAAACAAAATTACTAAATAAATGCAATTGATTGACAAGATAATCCATCTCTACATAAAGATGAAGAAAAATACTCACCTGCCTTACAGCAGAAACCGCTCGGTCAGTGCGAGCTGCTCTTTGAAAATGAAAAAGGCTGGGCTGTTCTTTCATTTCATCGGTAATCCATCCCAATTTATTCATGGCGTTGATCAACTGGCCTTCAATCGTCGGGTGCTCTTTTTGTATCTGTAACACAATTACCGATAATTAATCGTAAGTAATTCGAGCTCATTACGGAGAATCGGAGAAATAGATTGACTTCAGTCGGTTCATTCACATACATTACACCAGGAGAATATGAAGTTGTTTGCTGCAACGCTGAGGCGTTTTAGAGGGCTTTTTTGACGTGGCATCAGCATGTTCTCCACCAAATATAGATGTTGCCAGGCGACCATTCGGTGGAGAATAGGCTAACACTACCCTGAAGCACCCTCCTCCTGGCGTTCCACCGCCTGCAGCCAACAAGACTCAGCTGTTACCAGTCTCGAACTAGGATCATCACGAAGGAACACAGGATTCTAGCCAGAACGTCAACATCGCAGAAAACTTGCGTTCCTCTTGTATCAGCGACTTCAACATTTAGGCTAACTCGAGTTCGGCTTAGGGGGCATTTTGCACTTACGCTAGTTCTTTTTGTTAAGGGCAGTGCCCGCGTCCAGTTAAGATTTCTCTCTCCCTTCGTGAACAGGTAGCCAGGTTCGCAGAAACAGCGATAACACCATTTTCACTGGCGCAAAACGAGTGAGGGGGCCACGATACCGTCGTTCCTCTATTGGCCCGACCCCTTATCATTGGCTCCGCCCACTGTTCATTTCTAATGGTTGCCTGATGGTGCGGTTGTTCTGCTACTAACTCTCTCCACTTCGAATGGTGAGAGTGAGGTGATAAGGGAAAACAGCTGATACCAACAAGTAAGAACTCGTGCGACCACAGCCTCTTTTCGCCTTATGCACGTACAACACGGTTCGGCATGGGGTTCTATATGGGACATTTCCGGCGGGTTTTTTCTGCTTTTTTTCTTCACTGCTGGATCATTTGCTACCTTGCTATTACTATCTGAGCCGCATAACTCATCATATTTGAATGCGGGCTCAGCCTTTAAATCATGTTAACTAACAGCGCTGACTTTGATGAGTAATGTAAACTCTTCTGAAGCTACAAAGTGTTACAAGTGAGTCATTGTAGTAATAGGAATTGACATCCTCACAAGATGGCCTGTTCACCTTCTCTGAGTACCATTTATCACCCCCACCAAGCCGAACTGCGCCGAAATTTGTAGCATCTTGCTTAACGACTCATTCTACTTTGATCATATGGGCGAAGACGAAGCATCGCATCACTGGCGCCAGAGGAAAGCACAAGCACGGTGCTCTGTCTCCGTCCATCTGGTTATCATGTAACCTCCCTTTCAAAGGTAATATGACTTTCAAGTAAAGAAATAATGAGGTAGTTTGAATATAACAAACCCACCTGCATACCAAAGTATTCCTTTCCCTGATAAGCAAGCAGCATTGCATACTTTGCCCTCTTTATCCGGGCTTTCGCAGCCTCACTAGTATGCTTTTCGATTTTACCGGATTGCACATCGTGAAGGACCGCTTCCGATTTATTTTCCGCGGCGTCTGCAACTTTTGTCATCGTTGCTACGACCCTCTGAAGAAACCGTTTCAACATGCGCTCTGAATGAGCCTGAACGGAAACAGTTCGTGAATACGCCAGAAAAGAAAAACATCTATTTTAACACTTGTCCAGGATGCAACAATTCGCCCGATTCAAAGCCCAGAATGACTGAACATAGCCCCTTTACTCCATATTTCTCTATGTTTATTTTAGCTTGAAGACACTTGTTCGCTGCAAATGCTGGAGCGGTCAAGAGAGGAGGAAGACTAGCTTTGGCATTAGCCCGTTTTCCATAAATTGTGGTCTCCTGCCAGGTTACGGTGAGAACGAGCTGATGCCGCGCTAAACCCAGCTCGTTCTTTACCCTGACACGCCCCAGCATCTGCAGCTAATTATAACAGCAAGCTGTAGGCGTAATGGCGTCTAGGGATGAACCTTTTGTAGACGCTGGTCGTTTTAACCGTGAAGAAAACGCATACGAGACCCTCCAAACCTCCCCAAATAAGACCGGTCGAATTTCGTTTCCTCTGTGGTAACACTTGGGATCAGATACTACGTCAAAAACTCGACGGTATTAACTCGAACCGGTTAAATGCACGCCCTGCATAGATTTGATGTTCAGACGGCTTCTTTAGGACGAGCATGGAGGATACTCTATTTTCGCAGCATAAAAAATGAGAGGAAAGCGCGAATCGGTGGCGACAAGGACACGGTGCCCCTGGCCACCGTATCGCCCAGCATTCATTTCTAACTGAGAGGCGACTGTTCCGATGCTTTTTCCCCACCTGAATGGTAATTGTAAGGCTAGAATGAAAAAGTTTTGACACCAGCAAGTGAGAATTCGTCCGACCACGCCCTTTCGTCGCCTTATGGACGTACGCACACGTCTCAGTTTCTTTCCTGGTTTTTTTCTTCACCTTTGTCTTACTTGTTATCTGTTCCTTAGTGTCTAGGCCGCACAACTGACTAGCACAACTCACTATGTTTGAAGGCTACGGTGCGTGCTTTCAACCAAAGAACATGCCAACTCGGAATAATACTCCTTTAAAAAATGTTATGGGCGACGTCTGACCTCCACAACAACATAGCAGCAACGACAATGAATAAAATATTCATTCGCAAGGTTTCAACTAGTCCAATTTGCTCTAACTCTCTAAAACATGAAATACATCTATACAGACGAGCGGAGGAATATTCCTCAACAGAGAATATCACTGGAATCATCGCACGGAATGGGAGACTATCACATAATTAAGTATTAAACTGACTCTTCAGCTTTAAAAAAGCGATACACAGCAAGAACACGGCCAGCTTTAGTGCAAAAACTTGCAATTTACATTTCGCAAAGAAATTCAGTTTCTCGATTTCCATCTTATTTGACAGCTATAGTGTCCGATGAGTCCACATCGAGCTGTTTCCCAAGGTATTCCCAGTTGTGTACCATTAGTTTCTGGACGGCAAGTAGAGCATGATAACGAACATTTGGATCTTCAGCGGTCAAAAGCTTCATGACGGCTTGCTTCCCTTGATACTGCTCGACCACACTTGAATATGGCAATTCATATATAAATAAAGAAAAAAGAATGAATCATTGAAGAAGGTGATGCTATAAATCACCCAAAAAGGAGAAAACACCACGAAGCCGTATCGAAAATTCGAAATGACATTAAGCAACTGAAAATCGACAACACCTTTCAATGAATGAAAAAACAAAAGAAGCCGTATAAAACGCCCAAAATAAGAACCCCATCCAATATGTAAGAGGAGGGTGACCACTGCGGCTGATTCCCGGCGGCTTTGCTGGTCGCTTTTTGGCTTGTAGAGAGCACATTGCGTTTTCGTTAGTTCCTTTTGTTAGTTCATGTTACTGTAACTGTATTACTACTTCGCGGATGTTACTGTACTGTGTAACTTCTGTGAAACTGTGATTGGGGTTAGTGAGCCGTTTTGGTCACAGGATTTTACAGGTCTTCACCAGGTGGCCTGTACAAGCTTCGCTGAGTACCACTCGGTGCCCCCACCAAGCCGAACAATGCCAAACACTTTTATGATCGCGCACCGGTACATCCTGTAGAACGGAAGGGCTTGTGCACTTCCAACTAATCGCGGATAGCGTCACAAAAAATCGAACAGGATTCCAAGATGTTCAAATTCAAAAATCTTATAAAAGGATTCAGAATTATAGAAAACAACAACGCATTAATAAAGCGCTTACGTTTTGCCCCTAGGATAATGTCGTACATATTCGCCAACGTCGTGGGCAGCCACACAAAGAATCAAAGGATCTTGACTGGTTTCCAAAAGTCGAATCAGTATCCTTGAAGCGAAGAATCGTTCTAGTACCACTGACAACAAATAGAAAAATCTGCGGAAAATGGCAAGAGTTCTCACTTTATGAGCTCGAAGTTCTTCTCGTTGAAACGAGGAGCATTCTCGCGCCAGAATTTGTCCGATTTATGCACAGGAGACCACTGCAGCCGACCAGAACGGACCTTGAAAATGAGAGCCGTTTCGATAACATTCACAGCGCCTGTGGACGATGGATGAGAATGTGAAGAAGAAAAATAAACATGTGAAAGTACTCACCTCGCTGCAGTACTCGTCAAACGAGCTTAGGTCTTGCACAGAAAGGTGTAGTTGTTCGCTCAAGAACTCAATATCCTCCTGCAATAAAATTCGCGGGTAAACCGAGCTAGAGCAAATTGGCACTAACGTAGAAAGGGGTTCACTCGGCAGCGCCTCTACGTCCCTTCCCTATGAAGGCTTAGGTCTAGAGCGCACACAGTTAGAGACGGAAGGATAGTCTTGCAGACAATGTCACTGAGCTTGAGCCTTCTCTAGAAAAAGAGGACCTGCCGGTGGTTTTATACCATAACTAAGTCAGTGCCTTGGAATGAAGCCAATCCAAAATCCGGAATTTCTCCATTTCAAGAGCAGCGAATCCTATGAAAATGGTAGGCTCTGTTCGCTTGGGAAGGGGGGGGGGCACCGAATGGCTTTTAGCTAACTTGTACAGGCCAACTTGTGAATACCTGCTAATACCTGTTCCAGCTTCGTAGGAGTTTACAGGTGCCACCAGTGTGAGACCTATTAACATGACCCAATAAAAAGGACTAGAACAATGGAAAATGTCCTCTCAAGCCGAACGAAATGTCAATGAGAGGTGAACGGGGATTCGTGGAAAATGGCTACATAAAACTAAACCCTCTCTTGTGTACGAACTTCTTTTAGAAGTTAAAGTTTAAAGAAAAATGGACGTAAGGAAGTCAAATTTACCTCCAATTCCGAATCATCATACTTCTTCGCATCCATCAGCTCAAGCGTTTTGAGTGTTTTACACTGTACCATCTGAAGTGCTGCCTCTTTTTTGATTTCTCGTTCATCGACCTTTTTGAGGATGTTGCTGAATGTCGCCATAATGATGCGTATAACCTGAAAACCGAAAAACCTTAGAATGAATGGAATGAATGTTAATGTTAGAAAAAGGATTTATATCGCTCACCTTTTCTTTCGATGATTCCGAGAGAATATCTCCTAGAGCCTGAATCACACCTAGTGCAGGAGCACGTCGTGCAATATCCGGGCTGAACGTTAGGCACCAAAGTGCAAACAATAATTGATACTGTAGCTGGAAATTCGCCTTTCCGTTCAACGCAGCGACAATTGATTGGATTCCCTCCGCTTCCACAAAGGCATGTCTAAAAGAAGGGAAATCTGGTTCGTCATCATTCACTAAGCAAAGCTGAGAGGAAAAAGCTCAAGAATATAATAAAAGTTCAAAAAATGAAGCTGAAACAGACAGTGCGCTCACTCCAAGGCAAAAAAAACCGATTACCTGTACTGATCAATGCGAAGCATCATCTGCAGACAGCGAGCTGTCGTATTCATGTATTCGTTGGTCTAAAGAGACAGTGCGTAAGCATGGAACAACATAATTTACAGAAGGAACAACGAAACCACCCAATTTTCTGGATTTAAACCCCACTCTCACTTTGAGCATATCGAGTATTTCGCGAGAGCAATTGCATATGGCGCTGTTCGAATTAGGAGGGGCCTTCCGTACATTTGCTAGCTCAGCTAAAGTTACATGTCCCAATTCGGGTAGACCCGTACACTATTGTCAAAGGTAGAGGAAGCTCATAATATTGCACAACTTTACAAGCATTTACAGTTATTTATGAGGAGGCATCGGCAGTGACCGATGGGAGATAACAAAAAGCCCCCTCTGAGCGAAAAGACGCCTAGAGAACAGTCCACACAGGCAGTCTTCCAGGAACCATCCCTGTCGTGGTTCCTGGAAGACTGCCTTGAGGTTCTACTTGCTTAACCGCGCGCGCCGTGTAGCCTCCATACAAGCTTGCGAATGAATGCGGCTCATACGTCAGGCCGTAGAACACTTTTTATGTCCCTCCCCCCGCCGAAATAAGCTTTTCACACTCACTATTTCGGAGCAAGCTCGAAAGTCATATAAACCTTTAAACAAGATAAAAGCGAATGAAAAAGCAAACGTAGGACAAAAACAAGCACTTCGACAAAAAACGCAAAAATTACCGCAGCGCTCTTCAGCTGATCCTTCAAAAAAGAGAAGTAGTAATTGAGTTCAGATCCCTCCATAAGCGTTTTACCAAAGCAAGCCAATTTAGCGATGATAGAGCTCATCTTAAATATACAATAAGCAAATTTGACCGATTTCGTAGTATGAGATGTGGCAACGAACCTGATTGACAATAAAATTGTCTTGCCGTTGAAGTATTCCCAGGAACCACGACCACGCCGTTCGCTTCTGTTTTCTAGCTGCGTTGTGGAAGATCTCGACACGACTCTTATCCTCCTAATAAATTTCTGATGTTAACAGCACTGAGACTCCTGCTAAGAGAGGGTTCTACTCTACGCCAGTGTTCTGAGCGTACGGCAGTGTTTTGAGCGACTACGAAAGTACAGAAATCGAATTAGCTCTGGTTGAGCGCCAGCGGATGTTCAAAACACTGAAGCAAAGCATGAACGGGCTCTAAAGCAGTACAGAGGAAAAACAAAAAGCCAAAGATCAAATATGTAAAATGGGAAAAGAGTCAAAATATGAACCTGAAGCATGTCGTCGAGTAAGGTGAGCACATATCGCACATTCTGGTCTTTTGCCACATTCGTTATCAAATTAACAATTGTACGAGCTGCTTGTCCATTTGCATCGTTAGCGGCCAAAACTCCATCTCGCTCTTTCTTATTCTACAAATACAAAAGAAAGCGCCACACTCCACACAAATAGCCCCAACTCTGACAAAAAAAAAACAGTGGAGAAGGTCCAAGAAGCCTGATTTCAAAGCGAGAGAATACACGAAGATATGGAGAATATCTGAGAAAAATCTGAAAATGCTCTTAGAACAGTAGTTTTTCAAAGCGCTGCAGTAGATAGATGAGGCATTTTGGTGTATAGGCATGCAAGGCATTTATCAGCAAAATAAGCAGTTTTGTCGCTATTATAACTATGAACTGTAGTATACAATATGGAAACATTGAAGGACGATGAAAAAAAAAGAAACGACTATATGCCAGGAAATGAGGATTTCTGCCTGAGCGTATGGACATAAAAGCTTGGCGATAAGTGCACCAAAATGCCCCATTTCTGAGAAAACGAACTTCAAAATAGTGAGAAATCTCGTAATAATAATAATAATAATAATAATAATAATAATAATAATAATAATAATAATAATAATAATAATAATAATAATAATAATAATAATAATAATAATAATAATAATAATTCGCGTAATAATCTTGAAGGAGAACTCGCAAATATAAATGTAGAAACCAACTACTTACCTTCGCATTTTCATACGCAGAAATGAAGTTGTAGTCTTCCTGAGGAATCATCGATGAGCGAAGGTATGATCCCCAATTAGGTTTACTCGCCCGCACCTTGAAAAACAGTAACTTGGTTCAAAACGAGAAAGTGACTGGAAACTGAGAAAAAACAATCAATGCGGAAAAGTAAGTTGGAAACAAAAGCAAAAAACATTGTTTCAAATTAGTTCAAAGACCCTTCAAGCATTTGAGAGCTAGGGAAACGTCATCAGAAATAAAAATTCTGAAAGTAAAAATGACAAAAAATATAGTCGCTCGAACAAAAAGCTCAGTGCGTAAGAATTGTGAAAGTTTGAAAGGAAAAAATATTCACTTTACCTCAGCGGCTTCTAGTTGAAGTCTCGAGGTGGCGTTGATCATGTCAACCGCCGGAATGGCGTGTGCCAACTCCGCCATCTGAAAAGGACTGAAATACAGCTGAATACACTGAAATATTGAGCAGAACAACGGTACAAGCACAGCGGTAATATTTAAATACTAATACCATCAAAAATAACCTCAAAAAGTCGATCAAAATACGAGCAAGACGATGCGCGTCGAAAACTAGCTCATTACCGATTAACGGAAGAGCTACAGAAGGATAGCCAAAGGAGGTGACCAGGAAAAGGACGGTCGAACCAGCCATTCAAAACGACTAAAGCATCTTCGGAAGCTAATTCAAAGAAAAACCTCGCGACGAACCTGCTTTGGACTGTACCGTTCAATAACAAACCTATAGCCGCTAAGTGACTTTTAGGGGAAGAACAAAGCAAAAAAAATCATGGAGAACACCGCTAGAACCCACTGGCACCCTTAATGTACGACTTCTCCGGACCTGCTTGTTTTATGCCAGTAAGGTGATGCCCTGCCCCCTCTCGTTCACTAATCGTTCATTCGCGTCATCTGATGCTAATACCATCTAATAATGTAAAAAAAACGAAAAATACGGTGTAGAAACTGAACTCGTTACCGGAAATAGCCTTTGATCTTCGGTGGGTGGGGCAACTGGGGAGTGGGGGGGGGGGGCGGCAATACTGCTATTTATGAAGGCCACATCGCCTTCTTTACTAACTGTGAAGCCGCGAAAATGGGACAACTTTCGAGACTGCGGACAAACTACGTGCACAAAGAAGGAAGCTTACGAATCGCTTCGGTGCAGGGACTGTCATTAAATCTCCCTTTCAGGTCACATTTTGACCAACTCCTCCTGTGAGCTAAAAGGCAAAGATCCTCCTTGAAAAACTTGTTGGTGGTTCTATAGTGTATAAATTACTGCAATACCCAGAAACATGAACATTTGCAACAAGCATACAGAGCTTCTGATATTACAAATGCACCGTAGCACAGCAAATAACTAGTATGTTTAATAATATTAGTAAAATAGTAGTTAGTAGTAATATATTTGAATGATTCTTAGGTTATCAATGTTTTACCTGTTGCAGGGTGTTTGAAATGCTTGTTTTTCATTCTTTTTACATGTTGTGACGACATGTTAAATAAATAAATATACAATTGATCAAATAAGTAAATAAATAATAGGGTAATTACGCCCTTTGCAACATTAAAAAACAGTAAAATCGAAGCAGAGAGAGTTCGCAAAAGTCGCAACCTCTTCACTGGCAGGGTTATTTCCAGTGCTCCATGAGTTTAAAAAAGTTCCACTAACCAAAATAAGTCCCAAAAAGTCAATATGACCCTCGGTGGAGCTTTAAATCATCTTTGGCTGGAAGAAGCAGGTCAAATACTCAGGTAATTCGTTGAAACTCGGAATCAATAACCACTTCAAATCCAAAACCAACAATCACAGACCGACTGCCAGACCAATCGCTCCAAGACCACCAGCGCTCGAGGAAACTCGTCCGCAACGTCGCCCTTGCGGACGCGCACATTTTTCTTTTCTTAGGGTTTCCTTCCAGGGCTACGAATGCCCCCGCAGAGAGATAATGGCCAAACACGTTAATGATCGCGCGACAGCGGTCCATTCCTGTATGAATCTGGAGGGCTTGTGCACTTCCAACTAAATCGCGATAGCTGTCGACAAAAAATCGAAAGCGATTCAATGATGTTCAGATATTTCAAAAATCTTTATGAAGTATGTGCAGAATATATGAAAAAACACGCATTAATAAGCAGCGCTTACGTTTTGCCCTAGGATAAATGTCGTATTTATTTATTTCGCGCAAACGTTCGTGCAGTCCAGCCAAAGAAGTCAATAGGATCCTTGGACTGGTTTCCAAAAGTTCGAATCAGTATCCTTGAAGCGAAGAATCGTTCTAGTACCACTGACAACAAATAGAAAAATCTGCGGAAAATGGCAAGAGTTCTCACTTTATGAGCTCGAAGTTCTTTCGATTGAAAACGAGGAGCATTCTCTACTCGCGCGCCAAAAGTTTTGTCGCGATATTATGCAGCAGGGCGGGAGACCTCCCTGGGAGCCGACCGAAGACGGACTTGGTGATAAATGAGATTTCCGTATTTCGGATAACCAATTGCACTTAGCGCCTGTGGACGATGGATGAGAATGTTGGCAAGTAAGGAAAATAGGAACATGTGGAAAGTACTCACGGCTGTTCGGTGCAGGTAACTTCGTCAAACGAAGCTTAGGTCTTGCACAGAAAGGTGTAGTTGTTCGCTCAAGAACTCAATATCCTCCTGCAATAAAATTCGCGGGTAAACCGAGCTAGAGCAAATTACCACTAACGTAGAAAGGGGTCACTCGCAGTCTGCCTGCGTACGTCCCTTCCCTATGAAGGCTTAGGTCTAGAGCGCACACAGTTAGAGACGGAAGGATAGTCTTGCAGACAATATCGCTGAGCTTGAGCCTTCTCTAGAAAAAGAGGACCTGCCGGTGGTTTTATACCATAACTAAGTCAGTGCCTTGGAATGAAGCCATTGCGCAAAATCCGAATTTCTCTTGTCATTTTCAAGACTACGAATCCTATGAAAATGGTTAGGTTCTCTGTGTCGCCTGGTGGGATTGGGGGGGGCGCCGTAAGTGCTTTTAGCTTACTTGTACAGGCCAACTGGTGGAATACCGTGCTTATATACCGTTCAGCTTCGTATAGGAGTTTACAGGTGCGCACGCAAATTGTGAAGACTTCTTCTTACGATGATTCCAATCAAAAAGGAACCAATGAACAATGTGAATAAACTGTCGCTCTCAAGCCGTACACGTTAAGAATGTTCAATGAGAGCGTGAACCGGGGATGTCGTGATGGGATTCGTTGGAAACCTGTTGACCATAAAATTCTAAAACCGGCTTCTCGTTGTGTAATGCGAACTTTGGCCATTTTTTAGGAGTTGAAGCTTTGTAAAGGGAAAATGGTACGTAACGGTAAGTCAAATTTACCTCCAATTCCGAATGCGTCATGATTCTTCGGCGAGTCCATCAAGTCAAGCGTTTTTGGAGTGTTTGTAGAGCATCTGTAAACCATCTGAAGTGCTGGCCCTCTTTTTTGATTTCTCGTTCATGTTACTTGTCTTTGTTGGAGTGATGTTGCTTGAATGTCGCCATAATATGATGTTCGTATAACCTGAAAACCTGAAAACTCTTATAATGCATGGGATGAATGTTATTATTAGAAATGGATTTATATCGCTCTTGACTCTTTTCTTCCGATGGATTCCGAGAGGAATATCTCCTAAAGCCTGAACTCACACCTAGGGCAGGAGCTACGTCGTGCTTAATATCCGCGGAACGTTATGGTTTTTTTTTTCGATTCCTTAATAGTGCAAACACTAATTGATAGGCTGTAGCTGGAAATTGCGTGCTTTCTTTCCGTTTTTCAATATCGCAGTCTGAACTTAATTGATTGGATTCGCCTCCGCTGTGTCAAGAAGCATGTCTATAGGAAGAAGGGAAATCTGGTTCGCATCAATTCACGTATTAGGCAGAAGCTGACGAGGAAAATTAGTTCTTTCGCAAGAATATTAATAAGTTCAAAAAATGAAGTTGAAAGCAGACAGTGCGCTCACTCCAGCAAAAAGGAACCGCGATTACGGTGGTATTTGGATCAGATGCGAAGCATCGAATCTTGCAGACAGCGAGCTGTCTATTCATGTATTCGTTGGTCTATAAGAGACAGTGCGTTAAAGGCATCGGATAAAACGATATTTTAACTATGAAGGAAGCAAGCGAAATCCGTACTGTCGTTCAATTTTCTGGTTATTTATAACCCCCACGCTCTACTTTGAGGGCCTAATCGAGTCTTTCGCGAGAGCGAAGTTGCTGATGTATGGCGCTGTTTCGAATTGAGGTTAGGGCGCTTTCCGTAGCATTTGAGCTAGCTGGCAGCTAAAGTTATTCATGTCCAATCGGTGTAGAGCCGTAGCACTGGATTTGTCAAACAGGGTAGAGGAAGCTCATAATATTGATTTACAGGACTTTTCCAAGCATTTACAGTTATTCATGAGGAGCCTTCGGCTAGTGATCGTGGGAGCCAACGATAGAAAGCCCCTCTAAGCGAGATAAACGTCTTCTAAAAACACTCTTTTGTCTGTGGTTTGGCTAGGACTTGGTCCTTTGAGGTTTCTACTTGCTTATACTCTGCTGCGCGCCGTGTGATCTCGTCGCATACAGAGTGCTTGCAATGAAGCGGCTTGCAATACTTAGCGCGAGAGACACTTTTTATGTCCGGCTCCCCTGCCTCCCGCCTCGCCGGAATAAAGCTTTTCACCACTCACTAATTTCGGAGCAAGCTTCGAAAGTCATTATAAACCGGGGTGGTGTGTGGAGGAAGTTTGAAAGGCGAGAGCGAAAAAGAAACGTAGGAAGCAAAAACTAAGCACTTTCGACAAAAACTGTCAATAAATTACCTTTGGCAGCGCTCTTCAGCGTTTGATCCTTCTAAAAAAGAGAAGGTAGTTAATTGAGTTTCGAGATCCTTCCATAAGCGTTTTACCAAAAGAACATTTACGTATGGATTATGAGCTCATCTTAAATATACTTTAATATTATCAATTTGACGCTGATGTGTCGTCAGTATAGTATGTGGTCATACGGAACTGGAGTTGACAATATAAATTTGTGCTTTTGGCCGTTGAATTTGGTATATTTCCCAGTGAATCCACGACCCACGTCTGTTTTGTTTTTGTCTTTTTGTACGTGGTGTTCGTTCGCGTTTCTGTTTTCTTAGGCTCGTGTTGGAAGTATGCTCTGTTTACACACTCGTGATTCCTCGCTATATAAATTCCTGAATGTTAGACTAGGTCACTGAGGACTCTCTGCTAAGTGAGAGGGTTTCTAGCTCTACGCCAGTGTCTGAGCGTGACGGTCAGTGTTTTCGAGGCGACTTACGATTAATTTAAAGGAAATCGAATTAGCTCTGGTTGAGCGCCAGCGGAATGTTCAAAACACTGAAGCAAAGCATGAACGGGCTCTAAAGCAGTACAAAAAGCCAAAGATCAAATATGTAAAATGGGAAAAGAGTCAAAATATGAACCTGAAGCATGTCGTCGAGTAAGGTGAGCACATATCGCACATTCTGGTCTTTTGCCACATTCGTTATCAAATTAACAATTGTACGAGCTGCTTGTCCATTTGCATCGTTAGCGGGCCAAAACTCCATCTTCGCTGTTTCTTTATTTCTTTATTAGTTGCGAAATAAAGATTTGAGTCGAACTCCATGACAGGAATGGAGCCCAGACTCTGACAATAAAAAAACAGTGGAATGTCTTCGAAGAGAGCCGGTCATTTCTCCAAGGCGCATGATGAAGTCACACGAAGATGATGGTAGAGTAGGTCTGAGAGATTATATCTGATAATGCTCTTGAACAGTATGTTTTCAAAGCGCTGCAGTGTGATAGATGAGCATGTTTTTGGTGTGATATAGGCATGCTAAGGCTATTTATCCGTTCAAATAAAGCAGTTTTGTCGCTATTATAACTAGACTGTAGTATAGATACAATATGGAAACATTGAAGGACGATGAAAAAAAAAAGAAAAAAAAAAGAAACGACTATATGCCAGGAAATGAGGATTTCTGCCTGAGCGTATGGACATAAAAGCTTGGCGTAAGTGCACCAAAATGCCCCATTTCTGAGAAAACGAACTTCAAAATAGTGAGAATCTCGTAATAATAATAATAATAATAATAATAATAATAATAATAATAATAATAATAATAATAATAATAATAATAATAATAATAATAATAATAATAATAATAATAATAAATAATAATAATAATAATAATAAAATTCGCGTAATATCTTGAAGGAGAACTCGCAAATATAAATGTAGAAACCAACTACTTACCTTCGCATTTTCATACGCAGAAATGAAGTTGTAGTCTTCCTGAGGAATCATCGATGAGCGAAGGTATGATCCCCAATTAGGTTTACTCGCCCGCACCTTGAAAAACAGTAACTTGGTTCAAAACGAGAAAGTGACTGGAAACTGAGAAAAAACAATCAATGCGGAAAAGTAAGTTGGAAACAAAAGCAAAAAACATTGTTTCAAATTAGTTCAAAGACCCTTCAAGCATTTGAGAGCTAGGGAAACGTCATCAGAAATAAAAATTCTGAAAGTAAAAATGACAAAAAATAGTCGCTCGAAACAAAAAGCTCAGTGCGTAAGAATGAAAGTTTGAAAGGAAAAAAAATATTCACTTTACCTCAGCGGCTTCTAGTTGAAGTCTCGAGGTGGCGTTGATCATGTCAACCGCCGGAATGGCGTGTGCCAACTCCGCCATCTGAAAAGGACTGAAATACAGCTGAATACACTGAAATATTGAGCAGAACAACGGTACAAGCACAGCGGTAATATTTAAATACTAATACCATCCTCAAAAAGTCGATCAAAATACGAGCAAGACGATGCGCGTCGAAAACTAGCTCATTACCGATTAACGGAAGAGCTACAGAAGGATAGCCAAAGGAGGTGACCAGGAAAAGGACGGTCGAACCAGCCATTCAAAACGACTAAAGCATCTTCGGAAGCTAATTCAAAGGAAAACTTCGCGACGACCTGCTTTGGCTGTCCCGTTCAAAGTAACAAACGCTATAGCTGCCTATGTGACTTTTAGGGGAAGAAAAAGCAAAAAATCATGGAATGAACACAGCTTAGAAGCGCACCTGGCACTTAATGTACGACTTCTCCGGATCCTGCATTGTTTTATGCCAGTAAGGCAGGCGTTTATACTTGTAGCGCTACAGCGTCGCGCTACAGCGTAGCGCTACAGCGCCGCTTCGCAACGTACTGCAATTTCCAACGTTAGGATGATTAGAGTTGCTTACAGAGAAAAGTGGGAAGGGTTGCTGGAGTTTTCTTGAGAAATTCACGGAAAGGTGAGACTGATACAGCTGTAACTATCTGACCGTCCTTGACAGTTACTCCATTAGTCACTATTTTTCTGGTACTGCTTTTAGCGTAACAGTGTCCTTTGTCCTATTAAGAGCATTTTCTGCAAAAAACACCCAAAGAGTACTCGCGCCACCTAAAAACACGCACGCATGTTTTTTTACCGGAGACACAAGAACCATAAAGGAACTTCTTGTTTGCATTGTGCTAACGCATTGGTGATCAGACAGTCTTCGCGTGCCTGTTGTGGGAGATAAGGCCATTTTTTTCTGCTGCCGACAAATGCGACTCAATACTGATACTCTCCTAGGCCAAAAAAAGTACAAGAAATTGTCAGGCTTTGTTGGCTGTGAATGCCTCGAAAACCGGCATAAATCTTTTTCCTGTGATCCAGGCAGAGATTGGGGGCAAACTCTAAAAGCAGATTTCGCCCCATAATTGATAAGCGGCATTGGATTCCATATCATTCTTTCTGTATTCAATCCTCTTCTCTTTGTTTCTAATATTCATCTAATATGAGCTCTGTTTTCTACTTTATCACATTTTAATGTAGTTTCGCAATCGGGATCAAAACGACGCAGCACTGCAAGACATCAAGCAAAGCCATCAAACATCAAGCAACTGTGAAACCAAATAATTAAAGTCAAAAACGATAAATAAAACCAATTATCACAGTCTTCTGTATCAAAAACTACATCAAAATGTGATAAAGTAGAAAACAGGAGCTCACTATCAGATAAATATGAGAAACAAAGAGAAGAGGATGATATAGAAAGAAAAAACATAAAAGCTGGAGTTCGGTACAACTGTTGCCCTACGAGGTTGTAGCGCGAACTTGCAGTTGGTTACCACCGCGCGACGCTGTAGGCTACGTGTGGCGCGACGCGGCTGTAAGCGCGAGACACCCGTAGTAGTGGCGCGACGCGACAGTAGCGGCTTTAGCAAGATGGACGCTGCCATAAGGTGATTGCCTGCCCCCTCTCGTGTCCACTAATCGTCATTGCCTCGCGGTCATCTGATGCTAATACCATCTAATAATGTTTAAAAAAAAAACAAAAAATACGGTGTAGAAACTGAACTCGTTACCGGAAATAGCCTTTGATCTTCGGTGGGTGGGGCAACTGGGGAGTGGGGGGGGGCAATACTGCTATTTATGAAGGCCACATCGCCTTCTTTACTAACTGTGAAGCCGCGAAAATGGGACAACTTTCGAGACTGCGGACAAACTACGTGCACAAAGAAGGAAGCTTACGAATCGCTTCGGTGCAGGGACTGTCATTAAATCTCCCTTTCAGGTCACATTTTGACCAACTCCTCCTGTGAGCTAAAAGGCAAAGATCCTCCTTGAAAAACTTGTTGGTGGTTCTATAGTGTATAAATTACTGCAATACCCAGAAACATGAACATTTGCAACAAGCATACAGAGCTTCTGATATTACAAATGCACCGTAGCACAGCAAATAACTAGTATGTTTAATAATATTAGTAAAATAGTAGTTAGTAGTAATATATTTGAATGATTCTTAGGTTATCAATGTTTTACCTGTTGCAGGGTGTTTGAAAATGCTTGTTTTTCATTCTTTTTACATGTTGTGACGACATGTTAAATAAATAAATATACAATTGATCAAATAAGTAAATAAATAATAGGGTAATTACGCCCTTTGCAACATTAAAAAACAGTAAAATCGAAGCAGAGAGAGTTCGCAAAAGTCGCAACCTCTTCACTGGCAGGGTTATTTCCAGTGCTCCATGAGTTTAAAAAAGTTCCACTGACCAAAATAAGTCCCAAAAAGTCAATATGACCCTCGGTGGAGCTTTAAATCATCTTTGGCTGGAAGAAGCAGGTCAAATACTCAGGTAATTCGTTGAAACTCGGAATCAATAACCACTTCAAATCCAAAACCAACAATCACAGACCGACTGCCAGACCAATCGCTCCAAGACCACCAGCGCTCGAGGAAACTCGTCCGCAACGTCGCCCTTGCGGACGCGCACATTTTTCTTAGGGTTTCCTTCCAGGGCTACGAATGCGACTTTCAAACCACTTGGGACATGTGGAAGTCTTGAAGAAGATGTGAACTATGCAACAAGTGACCTGACGAAGATCTACGGTTGAATAGCTGTAGAAGAACCTGGAAGACGCCAAAATATTACCCTTTGGCGCAGTTCGGCTTGGGAGGGGGAGCGGAGCATTTCACACTTTCGCTACTGCCCATCGCCGTGTTCATTAGTGTACTAGAAATGACAAATAGTTTCAACAAACTTTGAATGGTATCACTTCATGGGTGCACAAGAGCAGAGATCCCCATCTGGCGGCCCGACAAGTGGAAGTAGATGTGCAAAGTTCCCACCCACCTGCCCGCCCTTCCAAGCGAAACTGCACCCACCTTTTGACTATTTCTGTTTTCATTCAACTTATAGCAATAAACCAACGAGATGCCAGTTAATGCAGTTATTTCCTGGATCGTTTTATCGGTAGAAGCTATGTCCCTGAACAAAATGGAGGAAGCACCTAAACTTTTGAAAAAAAAATGCAGCTCTTCCACCAGTACAAAACAGTCAGAGTTAACGTAGTCGTGGGGAGGTGGGGGTAGGAGCTCGGCCGTACCTTCAAATCCGTTCCCCCAAAAAGGCTTAGACCTAGAGCACAGACGACTAGAGTCGCCAAGCGATATTTCCACTGATTGGGAGGAGGGATACGAGTCCGTTGACTAGTGGTCCATCCATCCGTGTTGAGTTGCGTTCATACTATGCGACTGAGGAGATTCGGCGATCATGCGACGCATCGCCGAACTCCGCAGTCGCTACCTGTCGATACCAATCGATGCCCATCCACGCCCTTGACGCGTGATCTCTCGAAACGCCAAGTCGCTCGAAACGCTGCATCACCGGTTCTCTCCCAACCTCCAGACCGATAGCTATACTTTCCTCTTCAAATCCCTCTCTCGAATCGCACCTTTCCCTAATCGCCAGTTGTCTCAAAGTATGAACACTGGCTTGACGCCAAGCCGTCTAAGAAAAATTAGAACTTTCCACCCGAGCTCGTTCTAGTGGTCTCCCTCGGACGCGCTATACAATTTACCTGCATCGGATTTCGCAGAGGATCTGAGAAGGTCGCTTGGGCTGCATTCATACTCCGCGATCCTATGCGCGATCCACGCGGCCGGAACGCGAAGTATAGATGCGCTCTCAGCACGACCCTCAAGAGTTCAAACCCGGGCAGTTGCACGTGATGATGCGCCACACAAATTGAAGCTTGTAGCAATTAAAATCGTGACAAAAACAGCTAAAATCTTTATAGCAACAATATTTTTAGGTTCACAACAGTAACAGTACAAGGAACCAACAACAACTTAGGAACATGTACCCACTACAAAGATAAACGGCCATAGCTCTTCAATATAAGAACTGACCAGTCGTCAGCGAGCCCTAAGACTAGAGTAGGACTCACAACTACTTTATGAATGTAATCTCTAAACAGACGGCGCCCTGCTTTTTCTTAATAAGAAAATCAGGGCGCCGACTAGCTTCCCAGGTTTCTGGCTACCATGCCATCTGACAAGGAAAGGGAGCTCTATTCGGCTTGGGGGGTGGGGGAGCGGTGAGGGAGGGACGGCGCATTCCGCTAGTTCTCGTTAATCACACGTTTCACCCTGCTAAGAACTGTAAACCCTTGTCAAGTGTGAACAGCTCACTGTTACTGCTCAGCTTTACTGGGAATTACACGTCCCCATAGAGGGCATCAGTGATCGATGGGAACCAGGAGAATGCCCCACCAAGCCGAACTGCGCCAGGAAAGGCTATAGCATTTACGATAACAAAATATATCCAACCCTTATGTCATAGAGACAAACAATAAAGCCAGATTTAGTTACAATACGTTAAGGTTAACTGCTTATGAGGATAAATATACTTTCAATAAACGAAGATAAAATTCGAGAACACTTTGTATTGCGAAGATCCCGATCATTTTAGGGCAAGTATCACTTCGTATAGAATTGGTTCAGTAAGGGATAGAAATATATGCTTTTCTACTTCCCTAACCGAATATCCCGTTTGCTGTAAACTTCTAAACATTCTTCGAAAGCGTATCGAGTGCAAGGTAACGTGCGTACAGGAACGATCTCTGTTACCCGTAGACACCATGGAGGATAGCCGGACAACGATGGAATGCTTGCCAACCTAAAAAGAGCACAGTTCACTCAAAAGGGAAAAACGCATCTAAAGACACATTCTACTATCACAAATCTTAGGGTTCAAATTCGTAAGGTATGCGCTAATCGAGTTAGCAACGAAGAAAAAGGAAAATGGAACCATTAAACAGCTCTAAGACCCATCCAGCTTTGTACGAGCATACAGATAGGTGTACGTGTTCGGACGAGTTTTCGCACGTTGTTATCATAATGATTAACCAGCTCACTTATTCTACCACTTCTTTTTCACTATTATACTCCTCATTATTTCCCGTCAATGCGGTCTCTATAAAGAGCAGATAAGTAGGACAGTTGATCTAGGTGGGCGGAGTGACCCAGGGGGCGGAGCCAGACCTAAGTGACCGAACTTTGTTGGATTTGCCACCTGCAGCTGGACCGCTGTAATAGTAGTGAACCGGGGATCTCTACAACCGCTGACCAGGCTACGTCATGGAAGGAAAGGATTACACACATTAGGTGGTCACGAAATGCGTCTTTAGGTATAAATAGAAACTGGACTCACTAACGCAAAACTTCACAAAAATGATTACCTGTATCAAGACTTCAGGCTCATAAAGAGAGTATCGTTTGGCTAGGTGAGACGAAACATCGGCAACGGATATTGGAGTGTAGGAAGAAGAGAGCTGTAATCGGTTAGAGACTACGGGCTTCAAGGATCGTGTGGTTATAGGAAGTTCGAGAAAGCCCATATAAAATCTCAAAACTTACATCTCGACAAGCTTCAACAAGCGTCCCTCGTCCTGAATCAGCAGAAAGTAAATGGACAATCAATCGATAACAAGAAAGGTCCATAGCTGGAGTCGTACATCCTGCGATCATTTTTATCCGCTGAACAAAAACTTCAACGATATCGCATCACGAAACAGTGCGTAGGGCTGCGTTCATACTTCACGTCACCGTTTCGAGCGTACGGCAGTTCTGGCGTTTTGAACCCAGCGTTGGGACGTACGTTAGCTTTTTGAGCGACTA